GCCCCAGCCCTCTCCGGCCGGCATAGGAGGCGGGCATTGTGGCCTGTGCCTCTCAACACCACTTGTGGCTCCAGTCTTTCCCAGACGGTGCAGGAGGCTTGCCCTGTGGGGCATCTCCCGCCTGCTTAGACGCTGCGCGCAGGCTCCACTCTACAGGCCTGCAGGGACCTGGGAGAGCTTGCTGATCTGAGAGCAATTTCCCCTCACATAGCCTGCTCCGGAGCCCAGATCAGCACCACGTCCTGCGGCAGCGAGGCCTTGCCCACCTCCGCCTTCTATTTGGCATCGCTAGAACTTGGAGGGAAAAGAAAGGGGGAAATCAAAATATATACATATAGTATATATCTTTTATCTCTTGCTGATTTCCTTTTTTCTCCTTTACTTTCTGTGCTTTCTTCTCTCCCTTTTTTCTTCCTCCTTTTTCACTATTGCTATTACTTCTCTTCTGCACCTTTTCTATAGGTTTTGCTTTTTTTCTTTTTGCACTTTCACTATTATCACTTCTCTCCTCTCCTCTTTTATAGCTTCTCCTTCCTTTTCTCTCTCCATTCTTTATCTTTTTCCTCCCCCAAAATTTTTTTAAACTATTTTTTAATTTTTAACATTTTCTTTTTTATTACTAAACAAAAAAAACGGCTGATAAGGGTACCATGATAGACGAGGTCAAAGCAGCCTGGGGGCACTCACAGAGGCCCCACCCCCACTCCAGTCGCTGAAAGATCTCACCACTGCTGGTCACTAAGCCTACAGGGAACTCTGCCTACACAGCAGTCTGACCCATCCTTAGAGGAGGTCAAAGGCCTGAGAGAATCCTTAACAGTAACACAGATAAGGGCCCCCTGGCCTCCCAGAAACATGGGGCCTTTAAAAGCTCCATTGACTTTTGGGAATTCAAAACATTTTTGTTCATCCGGAATTGTGTCAATTCCCAAGCAGTGCCCCCCACCCCCCCAAATATGACTCTTTGTGTTCCCCAATGAATAGTCATGAGTGTGAGAGGCTGTTGATCCATTTGAGAAAAGCTAGGAGAAAGACTAACAGTGTAAGCCCATTGTAGCAGAGTGGGGTCCTTTCTCAATGGCACTTGACCTCCTCTTCCTTCAAGAGTTTTAGGATCTATTATGTGATTCAATTCTGGTACTT